CGTTTCTAGGCAACCAAATAAACATGTTTCAATAAGTTTATACAATAACAAAATATTTTCACTGTTAAAATAGTTCTCAATACATGAAATGTAGAGCAATTTAGAAATATTAAAGATATTTAAACAGAACCTGAAACAAATTGTTACTCAGAGTTTCACGTAGAGAGTTCTTCAGACCTAAATATATTTCAGCATGTGTCCCTACTGAAGTATTTAATATCCCGCAATACACATAAAAAGTTTAGAAAACCTCTTTACAATCTCTTTGATATTTTAAATTATAATATTTCTGTATTCAATTTATAAATCTCTCTTGATGTTTAGAAATAAGTGAATCCTTCTATGTCAATGACCTCAAGTAATCGATCCATTAATCTCTCAAAGCCAAGTTTTTCTTTAGAAGACATTTCCATTAAGGTAGAAGTGGAATACTTTGAATGCATTGAAGCCTGGAGAATCACACCTTCCATCACCACAAAGATTCACTGACTTTCCTATATTTTGGAGACAAAAATTTACTCTATCCTTCTCCATAGACCATGCAGTATCTATCACTGGTAATAAACAATTGCGTTGAAATTTGTAGAATATATCTTTACTGATAATTTACAAGCTTAGAACATACGCCAATTGTTGTATTCTTTGATATGTTAATCCACTCATCAAAATGGAACTGGATATTATTTTTTCGAGGTGTTGATGTGTTAAACTCTGAAAGATAGATAAATAATAGGTCTAAGGAATGTAAACAAGTGGCTGCCTAGCAAGATACACCCACTTTCCTGATACATTTTCAGTATATCAAGGGCAGTCATCTATCTATGTCAAATCATACCAAAAATCTAATTTGTACAAGATATTGTTGATTTAAACAAACACACATTATTTAATAAAATTCTGACATAAACTGTCAACTCTATCGCGTTAACAAGTTGTTTGTATTTATGCCAAGAGTTTTGTATTAGTGCCAATAGGTTTGTATTAATGCCAAGAGTTTTGTATTAGTGCCAATAGGTTTGTATTAATGCCAAGAGTTTTGTATTAGTGCCAATAGGTTTGTATTAATGCCAAGAGTTTTGTATTAGTGCCAATAGGTTTGTATTAATGCCAAGAGTTTTGTATTAGTGCTAATAGGTTTGTATTAATGCCAAGAGTTTTGTATTAATGCCAAGTTGTTTGTATTAATGCCAAGAGTTTTGTATTAGTGCCAATAGGTTTGTATTAATGCCAAGAGTTTTGTATTAATGCCAAGTTGTTTGTTTTAATGCCAAGTTGTTTGTATTAATGCCAAGTTGTTTGTATTAATGCCAAGTTGTTTGTATTAATTTCAAGACGTTAATACAAGGATAAGGTGGATCAAAACAAAAGGTTGTTATATATATAATCTAAAAATCAGATGTTTCTTTTAAAATAACCCACTTTTCTCATCCTTTTATATCATAAAACACTAACCTTCAATACATGACAGCTACATTTTTTACTTAAACCTTCTTCACTTTTCTAAACCTGCAAATATTAACAAAAATTGCTTTCAAAACCTCAATAACACGAACAACATAACAATTAATACATTCATGTGCCTTTTCATCCATTTTGTATCATACATGAAGGTTATGGCTAATGAACTTTTCAGTTCAAGAGTCATGATATTCCAGTGTAATGACAATATTTAAATAAAAAACATGAAAAACACTGAAAAACTTAAAACCCAACTCAAAACTCAAAATAAAAATAATATGAAATGCTTCAGGGCTTATTCTAGTCAAAAAACAGCCCATTTTACTTACCTGATCTGTAAGATCATCAATAGTAACAATGTCGATCAGTTGATCAGTATTGAACGTTGAGACACTGTCACTAGATGTAGATGTTAAGATGCCATTATCTAAACCTGTCAAAGGAAGTGAAACAGTTTTCTCTCTGTCCTAGTTAAGAAAAATATAATGATAAGAATTTTAGCCTGAATTGCAAATATTCCTAGGAAACATTCAAATAACTTGGTATAATTAATCCAAATAATTATAATTACTTAATTATTAATGAACCTAATAAATAAATTTGCTCAGTTCATAGAAAACTTTGATGTAAATTTGTAGGCCCTACTGAATAATGATTTTTAGTTTTTGATAGAAGGTTAATTTGTTACTACACCCATATTGATAAATAATACAATTTAAGTCTTGAATCAATTAGCTTACTTTCCTGATCTATTAGACTATCGTTTTTCACAATGCCGATCGATTTACCAGTATTAAACGCAAAGACACTCTCACTAGATGTAGATGTGGACTTACCGGTCGAACTCGAAGTACACAACTTTGCAATTTTCTCTCTAACCTAGATAAAAAAAAAATGGAATTAAAGTCTGAATTGAGTCGGTGTGCTAATGAAAAAAATCCAGGCCTGAATTTATTTAGTCTTAGTTGTAACTTTTACAAACAAAACAAGAAGAAAAACTCACATTTGGGTCAAAATAACTTGTACCGCCCTGTTCAATTTTAATATTATGACTCGGTTATCCAATGTTTAAAGGGAAAGAGCTCATTAAAATCAATCTTGATAATCAAGGCTGACAATAGCATGCCACAATCTGCATTACAGGGACTGGATATTCCGGATACAAATATAGTAAAAAGCATCTCGACCTGACGGTACAGCTTGTAAACAAAAGAGACAAGTAGGCCTTGTCCAAATCGACAATTTCTTTACATGTTTTTAGTCAGGAATAATTCCGAACAGATTACCTGCGTACATGCCTCTAGGGATTTAATTTATCAAAGCTACCGTGCACTGTCATTGTAATCTGTCTTACTACAGTATAGGTAGCTTAGGCTTATCGTGTCTATTATTTATTGACTCACCTCAGTCTGTGCATTTCGCAGTTATCGTTTTTGTAGACGGACAACTCGTCCACTTTCTGTTGGGGGCTTCCTGTGGGCAAAGACGGTCGGAAAAGCTGTTTGTTGAGAAGTGAAACGTATCCACCGATGTTGTGGAGCCATCGTTCGGCCAATGCTCTCTTTTGTAGATTCTGGTATTCGGAAGTAGCTTACGTCTTTGTTTTTCTTCTTATTTTTAAGGCATCACCAGGCTTGACATTCCGCCATTTTCTATCTACGACGTGACGTCAAAGTTGGCGGCCCCCAGGTTTTGGAATTTATTTATTTTAATTTGACAAAATAAAATAATAACAACAACAAAAACGTTTACAATATGTTTATTTCATTCAATTTTATCACAATTTTACAAAGCTTACTATTCCTTTAAACAATGCGTAGTTTAATTCCGTAACATGACGTCATAAGGAAATCGATGACGCCGTAACCAAGCAACTACCAAAACAAGTTCAAATTCAAGTTGTTATTTTACCAAGATATGTATCGTCATAAAGTTTTTACCTACTCCTTTTAGATTAAAACTGTTTATTCAAGAATTTCTTCTATATATGGAGTTCAGTATGTCTGTTTTCCAATACGACCAACCCCGGGAATTCAGGTCCAAGTCTGCCAAGTGAAGTGAATTGTTTTGCGTTTACGGCTTCATATTCTTAAAAATTCACGCGGATGACCCCCAGAACCCCCTCTCATGCTACCTCCCCCACCCCCGAAATAAAACCGTTCATCGATGCATCGTTTAATCTTGTTTGATCAATATACATAGTCTAAGCGTAGGCCAACCAACATGAACTTAATCGAATAGAAACTCTAGAATTATTGCAGCAACAAACTATTGTTAGAAATTTCGACTTGTGTTATCCAAAATTTCAACTTGAGAAAACCGAAATTTCGACTTATGGAATTCGAAATTTTGAGTTGTGCAATATATATATTTATTCCAATGATATTTCTCTGATCTGTATGATATCCCATTGAATCACAAACTGATTGTTAGAATTTAAATAACCATTGTTTTCATCAGTGAGTTTAGACCAGGTGATAGATCTCCTCCACCATAAACCCAACCCATCTCTCTTTAATCTCTTGTCACTATATGTATTAGTTATAGTTTTACTATCATCATCAATATTCAATACACTGATTTGACTATCAATAATACAATAGTTTAATCTAGGATTGTCATCTGGTAATAGTTTAATATAAATATATAAATCACCATTATACCTCACTACACCACAACTCCATACCAAGTTACTGTAACTAAACTTGTCTTGACTGTAATACAATCTACCATCCTTCTTATTATCATTTATATTATAATAAAATTGATGTGAATTAGACTTGTGTAGTTTGGGTATGTCATATTGTTTTAACACCATGGATCCTAACATGTCGATATTTAAACTAAAATCTTTTTCTTCCCAATCAA